ATGAAGAAGGAATCCCGATTTTATAGATTACCATAGGAAGCAGAGAGTTGGGAGTGAATGGTGATGGACATGGGTCTACCCTAGTCAACCAGAAAGGGGACCACAGGTCTACATGTTACGGAAATTTCAGTACTCATTCTAGTGAACCAGCAAATAAAGACTGAAATGACCCATGACAATTGGCCCATACAGGCCTACATTTATAATCCGCAGCTTCAGATTTCTACCAGAAATGCAGTTGTACATTAGAGTTCCGCTATCTTGATTGGTAATAACATTTTTATTGCTATTATTACTTTTGTGGATCTTAAAAAATGAAAACAGTAGTTTTCAAACTGAGCTTATAATCGGTGCAAGGCAGGAGACGAGGGAAGGCAGACAGGAGTATTAGCAGCTGGATTCAGAGTTCCTCAGCTGGAGGGCTCAGTAATGATGGCCATATCTATACGCCGCTATAAGTGCGCAGCTTGCCCCGTGCCACTAACCAGCACACACAAAACAAAAGGAAAATAAAGCATTTATTGCTGGGAACACATCTCTGCTGGGGGTTTATGGATTCATCTTAATTATTCAGCAACTATACAAATGTGAATCCAAAAGGAATTAATTGCTAAAAAATATCTCTGCAAATGAGTTTTAGTCTGAAAACGCTGTTTACAAGTATGGAAAAATAAAGGAAAAATTCAGTACTACAAATATGTATTTCAAAGTTTTTTGCCAAAAGTCTGTAGCCAAAAATTATTATTCTAGTTTTGGATAGGGGAAGGGACAATTAAAATCCATCAGTACCCTTCACTTAAAGCAACTGAACTGAATTATTTGTGGGCTGGTCACAGGGCCGTCCCAGCCTTATTCACCGTCTAAGCCAAGGCCATGAATACTCATGCTGGAAACATGTAACTGAGATTATTCATGGCCTTGCCCCTCCTGTGGTCCCTTGCGCCCGTAGTGGGCGGCGTTGTTTGCCAAGCTTGGGTCCCCATTTTGCTTCATGGCGTAGGCAGGTATATAAGTTAATATTTCACTTACTGTCATTTCCTTATTTGTGATCACGTTATTTTATTTCACAAGTGTATTTGTATGTGTTTCTCTTTATGTTCTATGACCTTCTTTGGCAATAGGTCCCTCTCCCGAGGAAGCCGACATTGGCGAAATGCGTTAACTCGTACCCCAGCATTGATTAAGACAGCGTCTTCATCAACTGTGCTTAGTCCCCACCTCAACTAATTGAACATTCTTATGATTATATTGTGGTACCTTCCTATATTATCTAGCTATTGGCTATTTGGCTGGTCTACAAGGGACGAGTTATACACCATGAAGGTCTCTTTATTTGCTTTTAGCAATACCTTGTGCTTATATACCTCCTCATGTATCACTAGTCCCTCTCTTTTAGATTGTATTCCCTCAGGGGCAGGGCCCTCCTTACCATCTTGTCTTGAATTGTATTGTGATTGTAATGTCTTCCTTATATTGTAAAGCGCTGTGCAAACTGTTGGTGCTATATAAATCCTGTATAATAATAATATGATACATGTAAATAAAATGTTTATGTTTTTAAACCATTTTCATTTCCTGCTGTCATATGTTTGATACATAGTACTGGGTTACCAACAGCTAGAGCCCCATTTATCTCCTTCTATATGCTATGTGTGTCAATGTATTATGGGGGGGGGCAGTGCCCAGTACCTATGTAAGCTTTCTCCCCCAATATAGGAGCTTGAAGAGTTGTTACATGTGATAAAGTCTTTTGGAGAAGAGTCGAGCACTTTGGGCTCAATAGACTTCAATGGCGCTTGAAAAATGGACAAAAAAGAACATGTGTAATATAAGTTTTTTGCGGATTTTTTTTTTGTCTAGTAAGTAGCATTGCATTGGCTAGAAATAAAGTAAAACACTCAAGACCGAAAGGTTCAGAAAAACGCCTGTACAAACATTTTAAAAAAAAGCCTTAAAATACACCCAAAGACGCTCAGCTCAAATGTGGAAGGGGCCTAAGTGTAAACTGGTGTATTTCTTACATTGCTATTGAAGGTAGACATACAACATCGAATCAGGGCCTTTGCTATTAAAAATCAACTGTATTTGGTTTTATTTTGTACTTAAGAAAATTGATCATTGAAATCGTATGAGAAAGTAAGTCTGATAATATGTCTACAACCAAAAAGCAAAGAATTCCAACTTTAAACTTCAATAAAAGTGCTTGCTCGTGGCTCATTTTCAAGTTTATAAATGGTGCCTTCTGAAACATGTTCCTTGAGATTTTAGAAGTTTGATTGGAATCTGACCTAACACAGAGCGCGGATGTCCATTGGTGGACATATCTCTGAGAACGATGGGTCAACAGATACCTATTCATCTATAGTAAGTTGCCCAAGAGGACCAGCTTGGTGCTCAGATGACTATATAGTGCATGCATGGTGCTTGTCATCCTTCCTTATTATAAGGAGAATGAGAAGGATCAGGCCCTGTCTATAGGGAGATTTTTCAACCAGTTGAACAATGTTCATTTGGCATGATTGCATAAGACTGCCAGAGAGGCTCATCATCTGGAACAGGGATAGGCAAACTGCAGGCCCACCAGCTGTAGTGAAAGTGCAAGTCCTATCATGCATCTACCTCTATAAGGCATGCTAGGTGTGCAATACCTCATGGGATTTGTAGTTGCACCACAGCTGGAGGTCCGGCCCCAATGTAGGAGGTCAGCAGTGGCCAGAAATGATACTTAATATTAGGAGCATCACTTTTTCCTTAAAGAGAGCCTGTCAGCATCTATGATGTTAGGAGCTTAATAGATCATGGAGAAGTAAAAAAAAAAAAAACAACTCCTCACTCATGCCTCTGCTTTGGACTTTTCTCTCCTACAGCCATCCTCTCGTACAGCTTGAAATTGACACTTCTGGGTGTGCTGGATCCTTCTAGATCCCTTGTTCATGCCTTTCATGTCCCTGCTCTGGCTCTCTGCTCCCATCACAGCCCAGCGTTATCTGAGTTGACAATGCAGAGGCTGTGAGCAGGAAGTGCGCACGGGGATCAGTGGCAATATCCCATGTAGGATCTCTCTTTGTCTCATGTATACTGGAAATAAGTGGAATAAAAGTTCTGGAACCACAAGTTTATCCTACTGTTGTGGGTTGCCAATTATCATGTGAAAGAGTCACTATACTGTAGGTGATCTGACTACTGGGAGGCAGCTTCTACATCTCAGACGATCTCTTTGGTTTGTAGTGGCAAGCTGTAAGGTTGTGAATTGAAGTGCCACACTCCGTTGAATAATCCAGAAACATCTTTATTTAATATAAGGGGGTATTTGTATGAGCCCCTGAAAGGGGTTGGCTATTTTTATGCCCTTTGTGTCATATGTCACAATCTATCTTTGTGGCTACATGACTGAATAACTATACATTAGATCAGGGGTGCCCATTAGGTCGATCGCGATCTACCAGTCGATCGCAAAGCGATCCCTGGTAGATCGCGATGTCCTGTCCTCCCGCCGTCGGGCTTCTCTGGATCCCCCATCTGTATGCAGCGGGGATCCGAAAAGTTAACGAAGCGCTGCAGGCGGCATAGGGGGGAGGAGCCGCTATCACAGCAGCACGTTGAGCGGTGAGGAGAGAGACGCTCGGCCTGGATCCGACAGGCGGCAGCTCTCTCTCTCTCCTCCCCGCACATGCTGCTGTGACAGCGGCTCCGTTCGCATGCCCCCCCCCCCCCCTCACGGCTGAAGTGCTTTCCTCACTTCTCCTTGGATCCCCCCGCTGCCTCTGCCCGGGAGAGCAGCGGAGATCCAGAGGAGAAGCTAAGCCCCCCTGTGAGGGTGGCCGAGCGGCAGAGGATCGGTACATATCATTGATATGTACCAATCCTCTGTGCAGGACAAACACTGGAGCGATCAGCTGATCACTCCAGTGTTTGTAACTAACTGGGGACACATAGTAATAAATTAAAAACATTTAAATTTAAAAAAAAAAGAATTAATACAAAATAGTTAAAAAAAAATCTTGGAGGCTGGGCGCAGAATCTGGCACGAGGCCCTAAAATCCAGTTAGTAAACAGGTCTTAAAAATGTAAGAAAAGTGACTATTTGAGAGCAGATTCAAGCAACCCCTGAAACCCGACAAACACTGTATGCAAATCAAACTTGAAGCACAACATAAAACTCTTCCCTTTCCACCAAATACAATGTGAACATCTCTCTGTAAGCATGAAGTTGCATAGAGGGATGTGTCTATGCTATGACCTGGCCTCCAAGTCACAATCTGCATACATAATTCAACTGCAAGGGGTTCCGGGGTACATAGGACTGGCTTTCAGAGGGGAAAAGGCAAGCAGAAAGCATCTTGGCCTGACTGCAATAAGCCAGCTGTGTTAGATGTCTTACTAAATGTCAGGTCTGCGTTAAAATGAACCTGTCATTATAACCAGTTTGAAAAAAAATGGTCTCATAGCAGAAACATTAAAATGTCCCCACATACTTTTTTATATGTTAAATAAACCTTTTCTGGGCACCCAGTGAGTACTCTTGTTGGCCTAAGTGATTTTTCATGTTATGTCTATGGAGAATCCATTGCAGGGCACAGCACACAGAAATCCAATCATCTGCCTTCTAGTGAATTCTGCATAGCAATGTGCGGAGAAATCCCTTAGGTCTGTAATAGCAGAAGCACAATCATAACCTCCCATAGCTTAGAGAGTCCAGGACAGCAAGACTGAGAATTAAATCCTGCCCCACTTAGCAGAATACAGATAACCTTTTTTTGTTTTGTTTTGTGTGGACCTGCCCCTTAAAGGAAACTTTTCATGAAAGAAACGCTAGGGCGGCCAATACTGGCCTCTTTCTGAAAGTCCGTCTCCCTGGCTGTCTCAGGCTCTCATTATTCTCTCAATCTCAGAAGATATATGCAGGTTGAGAAGTCTGAACACAACCAAGCAACCTGCATGTACAGAAGGAGGTCAAACATAGGCGTGATAGAAGCTTCAGGGCATTTCCACTTATTGCATCAACTTATAAAAAAAAAGTTTAAGTCTCTTTAGAGGTTCCTCTGTGTTTTTCTGGCTCCAGTCGGAAAATGTCTATTCCCTGCCAGTTCAGTCAGTCAGTCTTATAATTATTATGCAATGTTCTTAGAGATCTGGGCAGGATAGTACGGTGGTTGAGGAAGATTTGTTTTGCAAGTATATCGTAAACCCAAAGAGGGAAGTAGCGGAATATTGTAGGAATGAGGTAGGCTAAGGTTCCGGGGGTGTAAGTAGTATATGGGTGTAGGGCCAAGAGAGCGTGGTAGGCATCCTCCAAGAGGGGGGAGATATCAGAAGACAAAGTTTTTGTTGACTGGTGGTGCAAATCCTGCAGAGTTTCGAGGTAGTCTTCTCCGTAGTCATCTCTGACGTCTGGTTTGATAGTCTCCAGCAGGTTCTGCGCTTGGTTTGAACAATGCTCTTGAGAGCCAAAAATATCTGCAAAACAGGATAGACCATGAGATATCCAACTGGCATGATTGTGAGTTTGGAATTTTCCAATGTTAAGGGAAGAATAGAAGATAAATATTCCCTGTGTTATTCTTCGGTAGCACTCTGCCATACTACAAGGTCATACTTTATAAACATCCACAACTACCACAATCCATTCAACATTTCCTCGTAATCATATCTTTCTTTTAGCCAAAACAGGAAGCTGCCCTATTTGCACTTTAAAGACCCTAACACTTTGCCCGTTCAAGGCAAAGTGTCAAGGTCTGTGTAAAGCCCACCCCTCAACCCCTTTATACCCACCTCTCCGGTACTTTCCGCTGCTGATGACAGGAGCAGTGATGTCAATCTTTCTATCACTTGACAGTCTCACTGCAAAATACTCATTGCTTCCAGGTTTAATAATTCCATAAAAGTTACGGTGGTTGATCAGGCCCTGAGATTTGCAGTTGGGTATTGGATATAGATCCCTCGGTTCTTCTTCTTACTCATTAGCTTTACCCAAATATAATCAAATAAAAAGACTACAAAAAGGCCCGTGTGCCCCTGAAACGGCCACCTTTAATGCCCCCTAGACTTACTTGTTTTGAAGCCACTTGGATGGATAGATGATACCTTCATCCCCCACTTCAAGAGGTCTTGACGCATCACAGCACAAAACATGGTCAGAGCTGCTTTGGATGCAGCATAGGCTGCATATCCGGGGATAGGATTAAGACCTGGGAAAGAGAAAGATTAATTCAGAGATAATTTAGTAGGAATGCTGTTCTAGCTCGAATTCTGCATGTTCAAGGTTCGCAGACCTGGCAAAATAATGAATGCGCCATGGTAACCATAGTGCACTGTCAGGCCTTTGAACGTAGGTCAGCTGGTTTAGAGGGACCAGCAAGGGGGCTTTTGTATATGCCAGTCCCCTCACTATAAAAGAGTGGGATCCCTAAGGGAGTGCTGCTGACCAATTGCATAGATTACTGTAGGGCTTGTGGACACTGGCAGGTTCGTTAAAGTAGAAATAAACTCTTACTATAGGTCATGTAGGTAGGAAATATTGTGTAGGAATTGGGGGTTCTTACCTTTTTCATCCTTTGTTACATCTTAATGCAGCTGATGTCTTGCAACCTCTTCACAGCCTGTCCACTCGCACTACACTGATAACAGGCTTTATGTGTTTTTTCATGGGACATAGTGTCCAATTGTTGCTTGCTGCAATATTATTTTTTTTTCACAGGCCTTATTTTAATTGGTGGTAACACTGGAATATGCATTTGTAATATGCATTTGCACAGATCCTTTTTGGTGACCATGTGTCAGAGTGATTTGTAGGCAAGATATAGTGGGAGACAGGGGCTGTGTGATGTCACCCCATAACAAAAAGTGCCCAAATAATGACCTTATATACCAGTATCACTGGCTGTTATTACCTGGAAATTAGGGATGTACCGATACTGATACCAGTATCGGTGCTGATGATGGGGATTTTCACGTGTACTCGTACTCGTCAATATGCCCCGATACTAAGCACAGATACTGCTACTTTAAGATTTGGCTGCAGTAAGGTCCCGCGCTTGCTGAGGACCTCACATCAGCGTGCTGGGGACATTGCAGCGGCTGTTTGCAGTGCTGGCAAGCTGAATATCTCCTTATCCTTCCCGCCTCCCATACAGCCCTGGTAAGACCTGCACCCACCTGCCCAGACAGCCCTGCACTCGCTTGCACAGCCCTGTTGAGAGCCACACCCACCCGCACAGCCCTGGTGAGAGCCACACCCACCCCGCACAGCCCTGGTGGGATCCACAAAGCCCTGGTGAGACCGGCACGCAGCCCTAGTGAGACTGCAAACAGCCCTTGTGAGATGCCACGCACAGCCCTGGTGGGGCCCCGCACAGCCCTGGTCAGACCCCGCACAGCCCGGGTGAGACACTGCACAGCCTCCTGAGACCCCACACAGCCCTGGTGAGCAACACAGAGTATCTAGCTTCAAATTATTCTGCATTGCTGTACAGTGTGTTGCTGGGATTTGTAGCCCTCTCTAGCTGGTGGTGTTCTGCATTGCTGTATAATCTATTGCTGGAATTTGCAGTCCCTCTACAGCTTGAAGTCAGTGTCAGAACTACTAGGGGACCAGCGTTTGCAGCTGGGACCGGGCCCTGGCGCTCCACTACTGTCTTAAAATCATTAGATTGTATTGATTTAGAATAACTGTCACATGACATAAAAAATAAAAAAAAGATATCGGTAATTGGTATTGGTGAGTACTTGAGGAAAAGTATTGGTACTCGTACTCATACGAAAAATTGGTACCGGTGCATCCCTACTGGAAAACTCTCAAATAAAATTTTTAAAAATAGGCTTTCCGAGTGATATTATCATGTTAAAGCTTAAATGAGATTTTAGTGGTTCGGTTTTTAGATCTGCTTCAACAAACTATGGATGAGTTCTTTAAATTGCAGTACTGTGTACTGCAGTAAATTTTCTTATGTGCCCTGCCTGTGGGCACAGATCGGTACACCCATTGATGCTTTTAAGAACCCATATCGGTCCACAACAACTGATTGATAAGTAGCTCTCCAAACATCAATACCTTACCTACTTGTTTTCTATTAATGAGGGTATTTTCCTTTTTATGATTGTAACGTTCAGCTAGGGGTAATTAGATTGCATCAGGTAGTTTTTGCTGACCGTCTGTTCAATGCTTTTTTTTATTTTTCTTCAGCAACTTACTATATAATTTGGAGGAAAAAAAAATGAAAAACAGCGCACCCAAAACAGCACCATCCTCACCCCCCAAAAAGATATAAATGCTAAAGCCATTAGTCATAGTTTGATAGAAATTGGCCAGCATCAGGACAGTAAATGAACGTGACGAGGTGAAATAGGCTAAATTGTGGTAAAACAAACATGCCTGTAGAGTAGAGATTGCGCCGAAACATTTCGGCCCCCGCCACGTGTCCCAAAAAGATGCCACCTGAGGTAACACCCTCAGGCTGCCTTATTACAGGGATTGCCCTGCTTGTAATATGGCAAGTTTGTAGTGTTTAGGCCATGGCAGACGGGTTGTCTTCAATGTGTGTACAGAGTATGATAAAATTTAATTACAATCATGTCCACTAGCTAGGTCCTATTGGAATGCAGTGTTCTCTATGCGCTGCACAGAGTCTTATATAATTGCATCGTGATTATGTCTAGCAGTCAGGTCATGATGAAGGTTGTGGAGTAATGGAATCAATCAAACTTCTTTCTGACTGCTTATGGCATTATATCCAGCATGGCATAAATAGTTGGCAGGCTCTAACGGAATAATTATGCTCACATTTGCGATGTTTGTCGAAACCTTTTTGGAAGATTCCACTGTGATAAATCCATTATGGCTCCTTCTTGCTAAAACTTAATCCTCATTGAAAGGAATAGTTTAGTGGAGGTCATGGTGACCTCAGCTCTCCTTCTTACACGGTTCTCGGCAGAACATGCGGTCAGAGAATGTAACCACACGCGCAGTTTGCTGTGCAGAAGAAAAATCTTTAATCTGCTAACAAGCTCAAACCTGCAGCCTCCGTATTGCTTCATAATGACTAAAATGTGCTGAGTATTCCGGAACACGCACTCTTCTACACTGCTCGGTGTTAGGGCTCCTTCACAGCATGTCCACTGAGCTGCATTCATCTGCATAGACCAACATGGGCTCATGCACTGCTGTACGGTGAGTTGCATTGCATAAAAATACATACATGCATATTTTTTAATGCAGTGCGCACCATCGCATGGTGTGAACAGGACACATAGAAAACAATTGCTTTCTACTTGCTCTGCACATCATACAGGATGGTGGCATGGGCGTCCCGAGGCCGGGTCCCGAGGCCGGGTCATCGTGCGTGCCGTCATTGCGCATGCGCGGCCATCTTGGTGATGGACGCCGGCAGAGAGAGGAGGGGACCTTCACCCGGCAGGATGAGGTATGCCGCCGGGTCCCCTCCTCTCTCCTGACACCGTCGGGCTCTCGGTCCATGACCGCGTCCCTGACTTTTTAGATGGAGTGACACCAAATAGACTGTCAGCCATTTTGGTGTCACCCACGTAATGGTGTCACTTGGGTATGGGCCGCACCCCCCTTGTGACGCCACTGAGTGGTGGTGTGCACTGCATAAGAATGCATGTATCCATTGTCACGCACCTCAACTCACCGTACAGCAGTGCATCACAACAAGGTGTTTTACCTGCCCAAAGATTTGTATTTCTGTCCATCCACACTGCATAGTCCTGCCTGGAAGAGCAGTAAAGCTAGTTTTTCTCTGCTGTAGGCCTGTAACTCTTACAGGTCTTGTCCTTCCCCTACCCTGTTACTGGACATCTCTCTGCTACTCTGCTCTCTCCTCCTATCACCATGCATAATTTTACACCTGTATGTTCCCCCTAGGAGAAAAAGGGGAGCGACAGAGAGAGGAGGGGACCTTCACCCGGCAGGATGAGGTATGCCGCCGGGTCCCCTCCTCTCTCCTGACACCGTCGGGCTCTCGGTCCATGACCGCGTCCCTGACTTTTTAGATGGAGTGACACCAAATAGACTGTCAGCCATTTTGGTGTCACCCACGTAATGGTGTCACTTGGGTATGGGCCGCACCCCCCTTGTGACGCCACTGAGTGGTGGTGTGCACTGCATAAGAATGCATGTATCCATTGTCACGCACCTCAACTCACCGTACAGCAGTGCATCACAACAAGGTGTTTTACCTGCCCAAAGATTTGTATTTCTGTCCATCCACACTGCATAGTCCTGCCTGGAAGAGCAGTAAAGCTAGTTTTTCTCTGCTGTAGGCCTGTAACTCTTACAGGTCTTGTCCTTCCCCTACCCTGTTACTGGACATCTCTCTGCTACTCTGCTCTCTCCTCCTATCACCATGCATAATTTTACACCTGTATGTTCCCCCTAGGAGAAAAAGGGGAGCGCCACAACAGTAGTATTAGTCCAGTAAACATTTAATGCACATGTAATTACGCTAACGCGTTTCAGCGGCTCAAAACTTCAACCTCATCAGGGCTAGAAACGAGAGAAGTATAAAAAGATATACAATAGTGTATCTTTTCATAGTTTTCTTATTTCTAGCCCTGATGAAGGGGGGGCTTTGAGCTCACGAAAAGCGGCTTCCTTTCATGTGCATACTATTATTGGACTCATACTACTATTGTCGTGCTCCCCTACGGGGAACAAAGGAAAGCAGATTCAGTAGCAAATTATGGAGAGCCCTTCCATTGGGTCTGGTTTGATCCTTGTATGAGGAATAAATATTAATTGAAAGGGTATGGTTAAGAGGATTTTAGTGATAGTGGGTGTTTCATAGGCTTCATATTATGAGGTTCCCTCCTCCCACCACTCTGAGGACAACCGAGGACCCCACAGATGACAAGGACCCACAGCTGATTTTGGAATAACTATCTTTATTTGAATCCAGCGCTCTACAAACACAAGCAGTGTTTCCCGCTTTCCTTGGAATTGTTCTTTAAAGGAGAACTATGAGGTTAGTGCTTTTCACTCACCTCATAGTTCTAGCCGACCTGTGACAATGAGACTTTCACCCGTCGGCTCAGTAGATCGGGAGGTGAGCGAACACATACCGGCGTTCGCTCACTTCTCGATCCTGTCACAGCTCTCTGCCATGACAGGGGAGGGGCTGGATTCCCCCCTCCACGCTCCGATCCTCCAGCGCTGACTGGCAGATCGGACAGGGGAGGGGGCGGGTACAGCTGGCTCTGCCTCTAGATATGCAGAGCCAGCTGTCAGTCACACAGCTTGGCAGATCCGGGCATAATTGTCGGGATCAGATTCAGCTGCGGCGTCTCAGTATACCGCGAGCTGTAGCTCGCGGTATACTGAGCCTAGGGTGACGGGAGGACACTAGTTTGTGTCCTCCCGCTACCCTAAGGAGAACTATGGGGAAAAGTCTTAACCCCATAGTTCTCCTTTAATGCAGACTAGAACCCCAAAATTCCAAATGCAGCTGTTACGCCCCTTTAAGATTCAAAAAGTGCTCAGCGGAGGTCTTCCTTTACAGGACCCACTAAACACAGGCTGACGGAGCCGATTGGAACCGTCAAAAACGAAACTTGTAGACATGCAAGATCAAGCAAAGTAATAATTACACTGTCCTTCGCAGAGCCCCCCCCCCCCCTCCAAATTTGTCGCGCCCCATGTAAACAAGGGCTTTATGCGCGTGCAATTACAATCACATAACAAACTAATTAAATAATCAAACAGCCAATTACTTCCCCGTGACAAGCTCGTTCTGACAAACTAATGAGCTCATTAATGAATAGCCAGTATCTAAGGCTTGGCGTCAGAGGGTGATTGATCCGTGCGCTAATCTCTTCCTATGTAAGTGACTGTATGATTGCAAGTCTTTAGTGGGAGCTTCTAAGGGGGATGCTGCAGGTGCACGGACTGTCACACTGCGTTCGCTGTCAGTCTTTGCCTTAGAAGTGTCTCTGCATACGGCAGCTGTATACAAAGTTTCCTGCATGGAACGTATTATCAGCTTTCGCTACTTGGCATATTTATTTAAAAAAAAGAAAGTTGATCTGTATTTTCCGTCGCCATTGGTGGGTTTTATATTGTGCCGCTCTGAGAGCAGCAGCTGAATTCTGCTATGTGCAAATGAGGATTTGGCGAATATGTGGCTAATGAAGACTTGGAAGACAGAGAGGGAATGAGGACTGTGGGTCCCCACTGGGAATCACTGTTAACAATTCTAGGCCACGTTCACTTGAGCAGTAAATATAGACAGCCGATACGGCGTTTTACCCCACCCTAACCCCCCACCACCTAGAACCTAGGTATGTACACATGCCGCAGCCACAGCAAATTTTGTACACCATGTTGCTTTGCAAGCAGCACCCACACTTCAGTCAACAGGACCATGCCGCAATTGTGTGCCAACCGTTTGGCATGCGATTTTAGCGCGATATTGCAATGCAAAATCCTTATTGGGATTAAATTAAAAAAACAGGCATTTAGGAGGCATCTTCTAACTGGCTGTCACCCACTGGGGCCCAAACAACCTAATTCTGTCACAAGTGTTGGTAAAGCTCCTGAAACTGGCAACAATGCTTTTCTGAATTTGGCACAGGGCCTTTTGAAGGTCCATATCACCAAAAAAGTGGTGCAAAGTCTTGACTGAATCCCCCCCAGTGTTGTAAATGGGTTCATAAGGTACGTGTTGCATGCTCGTAGTATCTCACCTGCCATGCTGGATATGGCGACCAACCTTCCTTTAGCCTTCCGCAGAAGAGGCATGAACGTTTTTGTGACCTGCACAACACCGATAAAGTTGACCTCCATACATTGCTTGTAGACATTCATGGGAAGCAATTCGCCATCTGCTACGTAGACAAGGACGCCAGCGTTGTGCACGATGGCCCACAAACCTGGAGCGACAAAGAGACAAGTCAGTGTATCGTTCCGGCCGGAAACAGCAGCAGGAAAACAGGGGACTCATAAACCTCAATGGAGTACAGTTGCGGTGACCACACTTGCAGCCCATTGATAACTTCCACCAGCTACATAACTGAAGGTCTGTACCACAGTACAGACTTGAGGATGGAGGAATAGTCTGCATGAGCATTGTTCATGGTTGCAATGGTTTGCCAGTTCCAATGCAAATGAGTAAATGCCCTTTTTAATCAAAGTGGATGCATTTACTTATTTTTCGAAAAAGGTAGACTATGCCTTTAAAGAACAACTCCGGGAATTTAAAAAACTGACCCTTGCAGTGAGGCTACCCCAAAACTGGTTAAGGGCACATTTTGTCTAGGGGGCTAAAAAAAAAAAAGAGAAGCCGATATACTCACCTAATTCTCGGGTTCAATGATGGTCGCATCTCACCTCTCTTCCCTCTGCTCCGCCTATAGAATGCCGCTTGGCGTCCTCACACTTAACGCAAGTCAATGGACCTGCATTGCGCATGATGACTTTGTGGTCCTTAGAATGCGGGAGCCAGGGGTAGAAGAGACTGCTGGGACCAGTCTAACAGCCCAGCAGGACAGAGGATCAAGTGAGTATATCTGCTTTATTTGAGCCCCCTATACTAAACTTACTAAACTAGCACTAGGGGTAGCTCCATTGCAAGGGTGTGATTTTTTAAGTTCCTTCCTTAAGCTCCTCTTAAAGAAGAGTTCTTCTTTAAGATCAATAACAGTATTGTCACAGTAGAAAGATCATGGGGGACACCCTCTTAAAGATTTTGCTATGGGGCCCCATGATCTGCAGTTGCGCCCATGGCTCTATACAAAGTACAGGAACCCATAACAGCCAATCAGAAATTGTCTTTCATTGATCTGGTGACAATACAATAAAAGGCTGATTACTATTAATGGGTTGCGGCGCTCTCTCTAGTAATGATGAGAACTATCAGACCTGACATTGCTGATCACCTTTTTTTTCAATCAAATTATGACTTGCCTCTCTCGCAGCGTACAGACGTGAACGCGCCAGATTTCACAATATTTAGCATAATTACCCAAGTGCTATTGAACAAAAGAGCGCAATATCTGAATCTTGTTCATTAAGTCACAACCCTGGAACAAAAGCTAAGTCTATGAATCATCTTCATTAATTGTCTACGACGCCGTGTCAGGAAACAGAATTTTACAAAAATTATAAGGTGTAAAATGACTACAAAAGCAATCAAGACCTTGTTTGACTGAGCGAGCTGCGTGAAAACTCCTGTGTCATTTATTTTAAAAAAACTCGTCAAAAAAAGAAAAAGTTAGGTTTTTTTGTGCTATAACTCAAAGTAAGATCAATGAATAAAAGAGTAGACTCCAAAACCGTGAAGCCCGAATAAACAATATTGTATCCTTGCTTTACAATTTGTTGTCCATTATTCTTCATATTTCCTATCAACATCTAAAGCTTGATGAAGGGGGAGTGTTGAACCTCTGAGGTGCGTTGGATTTTTTTTATGATCTATTATTGTGTGAAATAAAAGTTAAGTGGACTCACACTATATATGTGGCACACTCACTCTCTTCACACTCTTTAGCAATAACCTTTCCAAACTATATATAGAACTAAAAAAATAGTTTTGCCTTTAGATACCCTTTAAAGCCCAACTGCAGGATACATTTCACCCCCACACACCCACCTCTCGCTCCCATTCCACACTATCTGATCACTGCATAAAAGAAACAAATCTAAAAGCCCTTTTTTATTTACCTTGAGTCACAGTCATGTGATGCCGCAGCCCCGAATCTTTACCTCTTCTGGTTAATTCCTTCTTTGAGTGTCCATATAATTGCCTGCAGGATTTGGATACATCCCACAGGATGTCCATTGGCCAGGGTCCTCTCAAGTTCCGGAAGAGGTCCGAGGTCAGTGGAGGGGAGTGAAGGGGGCTGTTGGTCTTAGATGCCATCACACCTCTGGAAAAAAAAACTGAGGGACCTAAAGGGGGAACTTAGGTGAGTATATCTGACTTCATATGGTAAGGGTGGAAAAGCCTATCAGTACGGGTTAAAGTTGGTTGAGGAAAAATACTTTTTGAGTACAGTTGGGCTTTAAAGGGGAAAAACTTCCTTTAGATCTACCAGCAAGTATGAAGTGCAAGAGCCACCAGACTGGATACACATTGATTGGATAGTTTAGGTAGGTCCTCATATTACTTTGTTTTGATAAATCCAAAATTAATTGTACAAAGATTGCATGGTGTTTGAAGAACCAAAGCGGTTGTATATGGGAAATTGAATGTCTTCATATGATGCACAGTAGTATAATATACTCACTGCGGACAATCCTTGTCAGATAGCTGAACTCATCAATACCGTTTCATCCAAAAGAGGTGCTTTATTTTTAACATCAGGGTTACAGCAGATGATAGGAACAGCAGGTGAATGGTTTCAGTATTGTGCGGTCAAAAAATGATGCCTTTCCTAGCGTACTATGCAGAGTACATGTCTCCTGATTACATGTGGCTAAATAGCATAAATATTTAAAGGACATTCAAGTGTAGGCCACATAATGCTCACAAACTGTTGTGGGCATTGCAAGATACTGAGAGCCACATGCTCAGACAGGAGGGCTGAAATTTGGCCTGCAAAAGAGCCCCTCCTGCTGCTCCTCCTGAGTCCTAATTATAGACATTATAGAAAGCTAATTTAATGTCAGATTCAGGTGTTTATGTTAAACATGCATTAAACAATATGTAATGGGGGAGGGGGGTGTTAAGGATGCTTCAGATCTATCTGGTGTATAACTATATTGCCGCCGAAGGTGAAATCTCAGTTTGGTTTCTGGCAAACTCAGTCACATGCTTCTCATGACTCCTGGGGATTCCAGTGTCACCTATCTCCTCCCCAACAAAATTCTCGGTTCCTTCCAACTCCCATGGCTTTCACAAAGCCAAATGATGGCGCCATACTTTTTCTTCTCCGCAAAGTGAAATAAATAAAACAGTGACTCCCTTTATTGGCCGTATGGGAGGTCGGAGGGACATAAACAACAGCAGTTAAAACCACAGTCTTGAAGTCTCAAAGAGCTATCTTAGATAGTGGGAAGGGTTGTGAACCCATCAGTGTCTACCCAAAGCCGAAGCATTACGTTTGGGTGAAGTTATCCTTTAAAAATCTCTTTAAAGGATAATAAAAAGGCCACCTTGTAAGTGAAGGGTAATAATACTTACTAGCCCTGATGCCGGGGACTGTAGTCTTCACTTTCTTGCAGAGTTACACTGGCCAAAGTATCTTCAGCATCTGACACACTTTGGGGAATGTCAGATGTTTGGTCCCACAATGCATTCTGTGATTTTTACCTGCCACCGGCTAGATCACTAGTGTGTCCTTGCCGACCTTTAGTAGAGTTGCGGCTGAAGAGTGGAACACACCTGGACGCCGAGATGGGGCGCCAACACACCCTGATGTGCTTATTGTTGAAGATAGATAGAAAGTCCCTCCGCACTCCCCACAACGCTCCCGGCCTATGCAACAGTGGTGCTCGCAGTGATGACCACGGATGGCGCCGTGCAGACACAAGGCAGAAGACAGGAATCACCAGCACTCGGTAATATCATTCAATATGTCCATTTATTTGGACAGATCGTCACTATGAAAAAAGCCAACGTTTCCGGGGCCGTACAGGGTCCCTTCATCAGGCGAAAAGATGTGACTGAGTGCTGGTGATTCCTGTCTTCTGCCTTATTGTTGAAGATTCTTTGGCCAGTGTAGGTCTTTAAAAGATGAAGATTGGAGTCACGGCCAGCCAGACTGATAAGGAATATGACTCTTCTTTTACCTGGTGGCTTCTTAAAAAATGTTTCTAGTGACAGTCACCTTAGGGTAATCCACATTAAATCCACAACACAAACCAAGAGCTGCAGTGTTTTTCGCCGATTGTGCTTCAGGTGAACTGTCCACTCTCCCTCCACTTTCAGACACCTACAGAACAATCAAGTTAAATCCAACATTCCATACCTGTATCTTTCACCCGGCTGCTGATCTCACCGTAGGCTGCCACAATTTCATGAGAGTTGGTGACGTCCAGCTGGATCAGGCAAAGGTTTGTTGAACATGCCCTCCTAAGTTCTCCGGCCCCAGGCCCGTTCCTATTTAAAACACCAGCAAAAACCAGGAGGCCTTGTTTATCCAAATGTTTCGCTAAAGCGTGTCCAAGCCCGGAATCACACCCTGAATAATGAAAGCAATGACAACATGAGCATGAGCCAGCCAAAATAAATACCTTTCACAGAGCGTCGCCAAGAACTTGACAAGCTATGAAATTACTGCATTAGCATTCATCAAGAGTCGAGCCTGAGGATGCGCTGGTGTTATTCTGTATATTAATAATCCTATAAAGCAGAACTTCAGACATACAGCTAAATGCACAGTTGGGCGAACTGTCTTATCTGCTAAAGGATTTGTATTTCTGTCCAGCTACTTTTGTGTTTTATACACCTCTGCCATGCAGCACATATGGTGACACCACTTTCTCAGGGGGGCAGGGAGAGGAGTCATAGAAAATGTTTCCTGTGCCCTGCAGAAATGTGTGCAATCTGAGCAACTTCCTGCGAACCATAAGACCCTAAATTGTGACATTACTTTCTCCCACTGACCATGGAAGTTGAGGCATGTTTTCTTTTCAGTGCTGCCCATCCCCCCCCCCCCTTCCAAGCCAACCCTGCAGCATTGTTGCCTCCCATTGACCACCAATGCCGGGGTACCTTTTCCTCTCACTGACCACCAAAGCTGGGACATTCTTCATTTCATTAACCATCAAGACTGGGTCACCTTTTCCTTGCACTGACCACCAACCTTGGGACATTTGTTTCCTCCAATAGACAAACCAATGCTTTGGCATTTTTTCCTTCCGCTGACCATCAAAGTTTGGGCATTATTTGCTCCCACTGATCACCAACACTGGGACATATTCTTATCCATTGTGCACCCACACTGTGGCATTCTTTCTCCCACAGCTCAAAAACCTGGGGCATTATTTCCTCTCACTGATAACATTGGAGCATTATTTCCTGCCACAGTCCACCAACATGGGAGCCTAATTTACTCCCATTGACCACCAACACTGGGGCATTATTTTCCTCCCACAGTCCACCAGCACTGGAGCATTATTTACTCCTACTGGCAACCAACACTGGGGCATGTGATTCTCCCAATGACCACCAATGCTGGGGAATTCTTTATCTCCCCGCCAAACAACCTTACAGAATTCTTTCTTTCCCTACCCTCCCAACCCTGGGGCACTCTTTCTTCCACTACTCACCAACATTGGAGCATAATTTTCCCTACTACCCACTAATAATGGGACAATCTTTCCCCCATTACCCACCAACCCTGGAACATTCTTTCACCCACTAACCCTGGGGCAATCTTTCCCCCACTACCTACCAATCCTAGAGCTTTCTATCTCCAACAATCCACTAACCCTGGGGCATCCTCTCTTCCATTACACATCAACACTGGAGCATTCTCACTGCCCACCAATGCTGGAGCATTATTTTCTCCCACTGACCACCAAAGCTGGGGCATTTTTTTCCCCTACAACTTCAACCCAATTTGCCATATGAATAAAAGTTTCACACATTTACATCCTTAAAACACAAATTCATAAAGTTATTAACATCACACATTTGCGTCATATAATCATAATGGCGTTTAGATTTTAAACATGTATAGAGATTTGCTTTCCTTTAAAATAAACAAAGGATGACATCTACCAATAGATATATACGCACTGAGAATGAAGCACAAGGAATGAGTGCCCAGAGGTCGTATAAAGCATATAAGCTTTGGAATTTCATCTGCATGTAATATTGCCACAGAGACCGTCACTTCAAGAAGTTATACGATGTCATACAGGAGGCTGTTAACGGCGATGCAGCATAGAGCTTACCCATCTAGCCACCCTTATTATGAATGTGATAATATGAAGCCAAAAAGGTTATATGGCATTAAACTGTCCTACTCCCTTTCTTCAGATTTACTAACATAGTTACGGAGTTAAAAAGCTTGAAAAAAAAGGTTGATGTCCACCAAGTTAACCTTTCATAGTTACTGTGTTTTTGGTGCACAGAAAGGCAGGACAAAATCCTCAAACGTAGCCAATTTTGCCCGACAGGAGGAAAAAAATGTTTCCTGACCCGCCATAGGGGAGTCGAATTGAAACATTGGGTCAAAATATTGCCTGATTATCCTTTGCTAAGGGTATTGCTAGTTGCAAGAAAATCATGGATGTTATTGCCTTTGCTGACTCATGCCCTGGGCCATCACTATAATGATGTGTGCCTACCACCCCCTTTCCGGCCAGAGCATCTCAGGTTGCTAAGAGCTCCTAGCAATCTGTGATGCTCTGGCCAGTGTCCTGCCAAGATCCTAGCAACCAGTGATGTCACTGCCAGGAGCTGAGCAGGACACTTCAGCCGGTGTCCCGCCTAGCTCGTGGCAACCAGTGAGATCACTGGTTGCCAGGAGCTGAGTGGCATACTCTGGCTCATGTCCCGCCCAGCTCGTGGCAACCAGTGACGGCAGTGAGCTGAGTGGGATGCCGGAGAAATCCCTGCCCCCACCCATAACATGCAACATTGGCACACCGCTACCCAAGTCCCACCCTATAACGAGCACTAGCAGCAACCCCATGCCCCCTAACGTGCACCGGCAGCAAACACCCTTACCCTGAGGTGGCGCATAGTCTAGGGACACCCCTGCTCATGCCTTAAAACTTTATTACTAAAAAGAACCCCTTTCTAAGCTCAGAAGCACATAAAAGCGGAACCAGGAAAACAGCTAAATGTACAGACAAAAAACAAGTTTTTACCTGCCAAAGGCTTTTTATTTTTGTGTTTCCTGTCCTGAGATTGACATATCCCGAAAGCAGAGCCAGTCTGGTGACCTGACTTTTCCCTTCTGCAATTAAGCAACAACTCCCCGCTCCCAGCATGTGATTGGACACTAAAGGAGCAGCAACAGGCTGATGAGGTCATCTTCCTGCTTGGCCCTCTTTCAGCATGCTCCTTGCCAGCACATGTGAAGGCACAAGACCTGATTTGCCTCCTCCTTCTCCCAGTGTTGCTGTAAAGGGTGTTACACAAGAGTTACACATTTAGGTTTTAACCCCTTCCCGACCGATGATGGAATTATTCCGTCACGATCTTCCAGTTCCTTAAAGGAGAACTATGGGGTCAGGGCTTTTCCCCATAGTTCACCTTAGGGTAACGGGAGGACACAAACTAGCGTCCTCCCGTCACCCTAAGCTCAGTATACCGCGAGCTATATCCGACAATTATATATCCGTCCATTCCGCCAGTCAGCCCCTCCCCTGTCACGGCAGAGAGCCGTGACAGGATCGATAAGTGAGCGAACATATAAAAGCACTCACCTCATAGTTCTCCTTTAAAGACCGGTGATAGAATAATCCCGACATGCGGTAAAATGAGCGCTGGCCTGGATAGGTAATCGCAGTGATCACATCGCTGTTACAGCCACTGAACCGCTTTGCAGCTCACTGTGTACTCAGAATACTTTGTTTCCAAAGTTTCTTTTTTTAACAGAAATAGTTTTTATTAGGGAATTTCACAAACAATGTAATGTAAAAAAAGACAAAGGGTAGCAATAGGTTAACAATACTCAAGGACGCACCACTTTATAACTTAAAACAGCAAGTATGTGCGCTAGAGGACCCTTGGGCGAGCCCATCACCATGTCAAGCTACCCACCCCCTCAGGGAAATTAACTGACAGTGTGGTCAACCCCACAGGGGACCATCGCACCTGAGGGAGGGCCCTGGGCCACCATCATTGATGTGGGGATGTGAAGAGGTATAAACCCGGTAAAATGGCCAAGATGGGGGCAACCCCCAATGCTAACAGACATAGACAACACAAAAAACACCAGAGGACAAGACAGTGGGAGGACATAAAGGAAGAGAGAAAAACAGAAAAAGTGTGGAGTTAAAGGAGTGCGGAGTGACAAAGGAGAAACAGATCGGTAGGTCGTTTCCAAAATTTTAAACATTTTTTTTTTTTAAAAAGGAAAAAGTAAAAAAAAAATCAAAAAGGTTTTTTTTCAAAAAAAGTTTCATAAATAAATTAGAAGAAAATATAGTGCCGAGGAGGCTATTAAAGTTAGGAGATAGGAAATACCACATTCTAAAATTTGTTACACATTAAAACTGTATTTCACTTCTGTAACTCATAACTCACAAAATAAATTGAAGTCACAGATATATAATATACCCTATAAATCAGGACAAGTAAAATAATTTATTATGAATTACTTTCTGTTAGATACACTGATTACGTACACATTATCATTGCCAAAACTGGGGGGGGGGAATTCAATTTTTTTAATAAAAAAAACAACTTATTTATATATGCACATATATATGTCACATCACATTAAAACTCATGTTGCCATTTAAAACAGTACAGGCAGTCCCCGGGTTACGAAGATAGGGACTGTAGGTTTGTTCTTAAGTTGAATTTGTATGTAAGTTGGAACAGGTACATTTTTTAAGTGTAACTCCAGCCAAAATGTTTTTTTTCTTTCTTGCTTTAGATAGCACAGGGAAGGGTTTACCCCCTGTAACATTTGTTTTGCTGTGTGTGCCCTCCTGCTCAGAAGATTTCACCTCACTTTCTGTCCCTGTGACAATTGGATTTTGACAATTTTGGGTTGTCGTGGATACAAGGATTGGTGATAAAGCTTCAATGGAGACACCTTTTTCCCATGATCATTTTGACAGGAGTGATTTTCCGTTGCTATGAGTGGATTTCCTTTCACTTCCTGTTGTCTCAAGGACAGGAATTGAGATTAAATGTTTCCAATGAGGATACAGACAGCAGTAAAAACCTCACAGTGACCCGGGAAGAGGTGGGCACCCCTCGTCTGCACGTCTAACAAGAGGCAACTTCCTGTAATGTACATACAGTACTATGAACCAGACCCAAAAAGGTGGGCACTCCTCGCCAGCACGAGCATGGTAGCATTACAACTACCCCTGCTGTACAGTAATAGCCCCGTTGGTAAGTAGGAGTTGTATGTAAGTTGGATGTATGTAACCCGGGCACTGCCTGTATATATAATATGTGTGGGTGCAACACATGAGGAAGATGGGAATTATGGTTAAACAAACACATAGCAAAAATGGAAAAATTGCTCTGTTCCCCAGGAGCGAA